AATTATTATTATAAAAACATTCACGCATTATGCATTTGTACAAAAGAATCAAGAAAGTTGAAAAGGAAGAAAAAAAAAAAAAAATTCAACGAACAACTTTGTAACTTTTTGTTAATAACAATAATAATATTCTTTCCCTTCCTTTTTTTTCGTATTGATTGTTTATCTCTCTTTCTCATCCCATTATTTTCTTCCCTTCACACCCCCTAACACCATCCTCATATTTCTCTTTCTTTCTCTCTCTTTTTCTGTGTTCTTTTTTATTTTTTTTTTTTTATTTAAGTGTCCCATTTCATTTGACAGATGAGAAAGAAAGAGAAAAAATTAGGTTAATTTTTATTTTATTTTTTGTTTTGTTTTGTTTTGTTTATTTTTATTGAACCGTGCGGTAAAGTGTTGGACACACATTTTACCGCGCCCCCACGACGTCACGTCGATCGAATGTTTTTTTTTTAATGGTGTTTTTATTTTATTTTGTAAATACCTCGATGCATTTTTTTTTCTTGATCCTATTCTTCCCTCTCTATGATTTTTTTTTTTTAATTTTACTTTTTACAATAATTTCCCTATTTTGTTTTTACTTTTTATTTCTTTCTTTCTTCTTTTCTACATTCATTTGCTTTTTTTCTTTGTTCTATTTTGTTTTGTTTTGTTTTGTTGTTTGTTTGTTTGTTTTCGAGTACTCGTAATAAAACGTATATCAAGTTAGATTTTATTTTAATTCATTTTAATATATTACATGGGAATTCATTATGGGATATATGATGTGGTTTTAAATAATAAACATTTAATATTAAAATTATAATTTAATTGTAATCCCTTTAAGTTGCATGCTCAAAGTTAACTCGAGTGACGTTGTATTTTATGCTGCTATCAAAATTTTGATTAATTTGGTTTTTTTGTAATTTTTTTTTCCCCCAAGACAATGTTCTAAATTGTGTGTGTGTGTGTTTTTTTTTATATAAAAAAGAACCAATTTTTTTGGCTGGTTTCTTTAAAAGAAAAATTGTGTATTCAGGGGTTAATAATTATAAAAAAAAATTAATTAATTTAAATTTAATTAATATTGAAAAATCTACAATTTTCAGTTCAAATGAATTGAATCGAATGAATTTAATTTCGAATGAACAATTATTCGATTTTATACGAAATATTTTCATTCTTCTATGATTGCTTTTTTTTTTGTCTTCTTTGTATTTTTCGTATTGTCCTCGTAAGTAAACTCAAAATACGAAATTGTCTTTCTGCGTAAATCCATTAAAAGTTTTTCCAATTCTGCTTCTACTACTACAACGTTTTTGGAACAAACTTACACTAACAAAGTCGAAATGTTTCTTTGTATTTGTCTTTGTCTTTGTCTTTGAGAAATCCTTTACCATTGAGCTTTCCAAGTTGGTAAAAGAAAAAATAAAATATGAAATATAAAAGTAGGTAGTTGTAGTAGTAGTAGTAGTAGTAGTAGTAGTAGTAGTAGTAGTAGTCATTCCTTGCAATTTTTTTATTTTTTTATTTTTCGGTTAAAGCTTTTCTCCCATTTTCTTTTTCTTTTTTTCCGAGCCAAGCTTGGATACGTTTTTATTTTTACGAGTACAAAACCCCGATAGTTTAGTTCTCTCGTTACTCTGTTATAAGATTCTTTCAAAAGGTAAAATACTTTATCTTTTATCTTGAAAATAAGAAAATAAAATTAGATAAAAGTAAATATAATAAAAAAAAAAAAAAAGGGATTGAATATCTTATCGAGCTTCATTCATTCTTTCTTCTCTTCTTTTTTATTTTTTATTTATTTCTTTTTTTTTTTGATAGCAAGAGACATCGATTTTCCTTTACTCTTATTAGAACTAACCCTTTTTTAATTATTTTGAACAATGACAATGATGATTAGGATGATAATGTTCATGATAATTATTTATATTTATTATTATAATTATTTTATATATTTTTTTTTTCAAAGGGAAAAATATGTATGAATGTTGAACGATAGCAAAAATACTATTTGTTAGTGTTAATATTAGATTAATTGTTTAATATGTACACATGAATGGTGTTCTTTTTATTTCTTTTTTTCATTAACAGACAAATTGAATAAAAAAAGGGGTCAATTCTTAACGTAGATCTTTCCTTTTTTTTTTTATTTAAAAAATAATTGACGACATATCGCGTAGTTTAAATCAAAATTAAAACAAATAAAATATAATAAAATAAAATAAAATTAAATGTAATATTAGTTTGACAAAAACGTGAAAAACTATTGGTGATAATAGAACGATCATAATCAATTTCTCTTGAATCAGGAAAAAAATAACATGTTTGGACGGTAATAAGAAATGAATGAAGCAAGATTATATATCTTCTTAATATATATAAATTACATGTCACGTTGTTTGTACGCAATGAACTCCTAAACTACTAAACTGGATTTAATAAAATTTTGCACACCGTGTGCAGTTTCATTCAACTTGAAAGATAGGATAGTCTATATTTCAATTTATAATCGCAATATTATTTCATTGCGAATTATTTGTTTATTAACAAAGAGTCATGATTATCTCTGTTAGTTATATATATATATATATATATAAAATCATACAATCCCTTTTTATTTGGAAATATTATAGCAAATGAATTGTGAAAAGAAGAATAAGAAGAATACAATTTGTTATTAAATGTAAAATTGTTTAACAATTCTTGCCAAAGTTGTTTTTATTCCTTCTTATCGATGTTTGATGTTGTTGTCTGTTGTTATTGTTGATGTGGTTGTTGGTAGTAGCAATTATTGTAGATGTTGTTTGTTGTTGTTGATGTGGTTGTTGTTTACAAGGATCCATTTTCTTCTTCTTCTTCTTCTTTTATTTCTTCATCTTCATCTTTATCTTTTTATTCTTCTGTTGTTATTTCGCATAATCGAGGATTGAATAAGTTGGTATGTTAAAATTTCGATCAACGTGGGCGATCAGCATCTTTTCAATACAAGATGCTAGACTGCCGTGGGGGCTCTGGATTGTCAATGCCATTTTGCTTTTTGCGCAAATATATCCGCTCGTAGATTTTGAGCGAAGCAAATTCCCAAAATCTGAAATTAGAAGAAACAAAAAAACAAAAAATCAAGACAATCAAATGAGATAGAAACTGAAATAGAAAAAGTTTCGTGTTTATTTTATTTTTTTTTTTTTAAATTAAAACTGAAAATGCATTTTTTTAATTTCATTTCATTTAATTATAGATTTTATTTTTAAATGATTATCAGAGATCAAGTGTCTCTTAAATTGTTTTTTTTTTTTTTTAGAAGAAAAAAAAACCCATGCTTGAAGCTTTACAATTCCATTAATATCACTGAAACACGTGCAAAATAAAAAATATAGGCTATGTCTGACATATACGCGATTTAATCTACTTGCCCATTACAATTTCATGCTCGTACTACTAGCAATCAGTAAAAAGCATTAATATATATATATATGTATAAGTATACCTATTTTACGAGAACGATTTTTATAATTACATTTAACAATAATCAAAAGTAATTAATTGTAATTGATAATAACTATAATAAGAATATTTAAACACGTATACTATGATACATACATTTTATCGAGTAATAAAACCTCACCTTTTCTAGTATATCGAGGATAGATTGATTTCACATAATTTGCATGCACATAGATAGGATTACCAAATAAAAAATACAAAACCCTTTTTTTTTGACGTTTGAAATATTAACATAAAATGTAGAAAGATGTATATAAAAAACATATATATATATATATATCAAATTGGGAAATGAATAAAAAGTGGTTGAGAGCAAAATTTGAAATAAAATTTCCAACTTAAATTAACGTAAAAAAAAAAATTTCTTTTTTATTTTTTGTCATTAAAATTTATTGCTCAAATAAAGTAAAAATAGAAAATAATAAAATAAAATAAAAAAATACAGTAAATATAATAAAATAAAATTAAAATAAAATAATAAATTAAAAATTAAAAAAAAATTAAAATTATATTAGTATTAATATTAATAATATTAAATTTTTAAAATAATTAAATAGAATAATATTAATATTAATATTAATATAATAAATATTTTGGTGAATCTATATATATATATATATATATTTGTATATATGTACAAAGGGTGAGTGGATGAGTGAGTGAAAGGTTGTTTAATATATACATGAAATCCTCTTTCAACCTTGATAAACCCGTTGTTCAGAATGCATATACCTGTGCAAAAGCCGTAACGACCGCACCACTTGCGATTGGAATAAGATTTCGTTCCATCCATTCTTCACCTGCTTGAATGCATCCCTTCTCGTAAATCACTTTAGCGACCTCAAAGTTCTGAAAAATAAACAAATCAAACCGGGCCACCGGGATTTTGTTTTTATCCGTGTGATTTTTCTCCAAACAAATTTCGTAATTGTCTCCTATTATTAACATTACTTTCCTTAATAAAAGTACGCAAATTTTCAGTTTATTTAATGTTGTTAATAATTTAATATTGTAAGAATTGTAATAATAAATTATATATTTATTTATTTTTATAGGATTTGTTAGAAAAAAATAAAACAAACGATAAAAATGACGAGATATGATGGAGAGGGGGTTGTGGGGGTTGTTTATGATAATAAAATTATAGAAAAATATTTTCCTCATTTAGATCAAAATTTTTATTAATGTTTTTAATAATAATAAATTTAATAATAATTATTATTATTATTATTATTAAATAGGAAGGAGAAGAAAGGAATAGAAAAAAAAAATATATATGTATAATATGTTTATTCCTAATTTTTATTTATATAATTTTAATTTAAATTTAATTTGTTTTATTTTTTTTTTTTTTTGGAAAATTGTTGAAATAAAAAATTTCTATGGTGATTTACGACGAAAGAAAGAAATAAAAATAGAAATAAAAAGAAAAGAAATAAATATAATGAAATAAAGAGGATAAATAAATAAATAAAGAAAGAAAGAAAGAGAAAGAACGAACGAACGAACGAACGAATGAATGAATGAATGAATGAACGTAGAAGGGGGAAGGAGAGAAAAAAAACTCGTTTGGTCGTGAGAAAATTTATGGGAATACCTGGTAAAGAGAGGCACGTATAGGAACGTAATGTTACTACGAAGTCTAAGTAACAACGCCACTCTATTACTTCGTGCTTCACATTTACCCCAAGAGTAAGAGTAACCACGCAAAGCTTTCAACCTCATACTACTACAAGTCTCTTCTATTATTCCTTCTCGTCTCTTTGCTTTTCTCTCTCTCTCTTTCTCTCACACATTCTCTTTCATTCTCTCATTTTCTCTTCGATATACATAAGAGTATGTTATGTACTTATAGAAGTTTATAAATAGGCTTATGTTGGTAAAAGAAGGTACTTGAAAATTGTAAGAATATTTCTTATTAAATAAAATTTGTTGAATATTTTTTTACTTTTGTTAAGTTTGAGTTTTAAAAAGAATGAAGACATATATATATATATATATATATATATATATATATAAAAGAAATTATATATAGTAATAGTAATGGTTAATTTGAGTTCACTGTATATATTATTTTCTTTCTCTTTGATATAATTAGAGTGGGTACTTATATATGTTTATATGTTGAATATTGTATGAATATTCAAAAATAATATTCATATAATATTCAAAATTAATATTCAAATAATATTAATATAATATTCAAAAATATTATTGTATGAATATTATTTTGGAATATTCATATAATATTATTTTGGAATATTCATGTAATATTATTTTTGAATTTTCGTGTAATATTATTTTTGAATATTCGAATATTACACAAAAATAATATTCATATAATATTCAAAAATATATATATATATAAATAAAAAGAAATTTTATATAATAATAGTAATAGTCAACTTGAGCTCAGTGCATACATTATTTTCTTTCTTTTTTTTTTTTTTTTTTAATATAAATACATAAAGTATGAACTTACATATGTTTATAAATCGGATTAAAAGAAGTTCTTGAAAATCATCAAAAATTAACTTAATATTTTACTTTGATTAATTATAAGTTTTACTTGTAAAGAAATAATGAGAATAAAAAAGAAATTATTTGATAAATATATTTATATAATATTAATAATAGTAATAGTAGTAGTAATACTTTACTTGAGCCTAAGTGGATAGGATACTTTATTATTTTTTATTTCCTCTCTCTCACTCACTCATTCTCATTCTCAAAGACTCTCGTGAAACTCTTATCGTAATACCATGATATTACGTAAGTAGCTCATTAACGAAGGTGTTAGTTGCTCTAATTATTTGAAAATTTTACTTCTTAGTTAACTATATATATATATAAAAAAAAATTAAACAAAAGAAATAATAAAGAATAATGAAATAATAACAGTAATAGTAGTAATAATAAAAAATAAATAATTTTTTTATGACAGAAAGTTATAAAACATTTCTTAATGACAGAAAGATTTTCATACTTTTCTTCTTGTACCTTTTTGAAACCCTTTTTTAACAGAATGAAAATCAAACACTACGATCTTTTCGAAATATATTTTATGCAACTACGTTTTGACAATAATTTATCGTGTTGATTGTGAGACAAAGGAAAGTCCTATTATAAGAGTCGCGTGTTAACTTGTAGTAAATTTTCGTGTGCTTTATAAGATAGTGATACCCTTTCCCAAACCCTTTCCCAATCCTTCTATACATATATATATTACAATTATTCGATTAACTGAACTCAACGTGACATATGCCAAAAGAATAAATGAAATATTAAAATATACAAATTGAATAAATAATTTTTTTTCATTGATATAAGCACACATACACATACATATATACATTTATATAATTATATATAATAATATAAAAATTATTATATTATATTTTATTATTATAAATAAATAATATATTAATAATTAATATATTTATATAATTTATTATTATTTATTTTTATTTGGTTCATCATTAAATATATATATATATATATGTATATATGTATATATGTATTTTTATTGTTAGTATTATAAAATTCGAAAGAATTAGTTACGGTACTTACCAGAGTAAAGAGAGACACACGTTTTACGGAAGTTACGCCATTGTTATTCCGTTTTAATGATACTGCAGCATGGGGTTTTTTTTTTAACGATCGTATACAAGCTCATTTTACTTACTTGTGTGTTTCTCGTCAACGTTCAGTGATATTCGTATACTAACAGCCACGTACTTTAAAACACGTATGTTTGCGTGTATACATGTATGTATTTATGTGCCTGAATGTGTATATTTTATTATTACGACAAGCATATATGTATATACATATATATATAAAATGATACAATAATTACGTGTAACAAATTTGCTTTATAAATATTCATACATATACATACACATACGTGTATCAAATATATTTATGTGTATTTATGCAGAACAATAGTTTATATACATGCGACATCGTTCGTTTACTAAAAAAAAAGAATAAAAAATTATAATAATAATAATAAGAAAAAAAAATAAAATAAAAGAGGAGTAATTAATAAAATATTGAAATTAAAAATAGATTTGCGTTCGAACTTTCTTCTGATATTATAAAAAAAATTAATTTCTTTTATATTATTATTATTATATTTTGATTAATAATTAATTATTTAGAAGGTTTTTTTTTTTAATAGACACAAGTCTTAGTTGATAAAAGATTAATTATAATATGTATTTTGTATAATTATTAATTTTAATAATATATTAATTATACAATAATATAATATAATTTTAATAATTATATTGTACAATATTAATAAAATTATAATAATAATAATAATTAATAATATAATAACCATACAGTAATATAATATTATTTTTAATAATTATACGATAAATATTATAATTATTATATTATTAACTATAATATTAATTATAATAATTAAACAATTAAATTATATTAAACTATTATAATACTGTTTTAATTATTAATTAATTTGTTGTTAATTTTAATTTATTAATTTTAATTAATTATATTAAATAATATTATAATTATTTATATTATTATTAATAAAAAATAATATTAATTATACAATACATTCATCTTTGAATTATTTTACTTGAATTAATTTTTTTTTTATATTTAAACAAGTGTTTTTAAAATAATAAAAAATTTCACAGCACCTTTAGATTATTAATAAATTATAGATAGATTATTTAATTAATTAAAAAACTTTTTATTAGATGACAATTCAATTAAGGTTACTTTTCTGTTTTTTTTTTCAAAACTTGTTCAATTAATAATAATCGATAAAAAAAAAAATGAATAATAATTAAGAATAATGTTTGTCATCTCGATTGAAATTAAAAAAAAAAAAAAAAAATAAAAGAAAAAAAGAAATAGAAAATACAAAAAAATCGACAAAAGTTGTACTCGTATCGTAAAAATCAATTGAATAAATAATTTTCTTGTTGTTTCTCTTTCTTTTATTTTATTTGTTTAAAAAAAAAAAAAAAAAATCGTATCAATTTTTTATCGAAGAAAGTTCAAACCAATAAACTAGGTCAGGCAAAATAAAATGGTAGAAGAAGATAAATAAATAAATAAAAATTGTTGTTATTGTTTTATGTGCCAATATGAATATATGCGAAAAAGATTTGATTTATTGATTTTTGTATTTTGTATGGTTTTGTTTTGTTTTTGTTATTGACTTTTTTGATAGTAAACGAAATACCTGAAGGACCATAGTGCTGACAACCGTACCGGCGACTGGCACGAGATTCAGCTCTAGCCATTCCTCTCCTGCCCTTAGGCAACCTCTTTCGAATATACTCCTCTCTCCCGTCTGCATTTTTCAAGGGCAAACATAAAATTATCATTTTTGTTTTTTCTTTTTTCGTTTTTTTTTTGGTTTGTTCCATTTTCAACGCAAAATTTTTCATTCCCTCTCCATCCATATTTATTTATTTGTAAATTATTTCTTTTTGTTTCTGTTTATTCGGTCAATATTTCAATCATAATATAAATGTTAATATTTCAATTAATTATTGTTGCAATCAAAATTGACAATTTTGCAACGTATTTATTTATTGGGATTTCTGGCAGAGGCGTGGCGTAGCAAAATTCGACCTATTTATTCTAATTTTGAATTTAACCACCAGATAGCGTATTCAAGTGCTAGAGATCATTCCACGTGGCGTAGCGATTCGACCTATCTACTTTAATTTTGAAATTAGCCACCAGATAACGTATTCAAGTGCTAGAGATCCCAATACAAATTTATTTAATAAATTTATAAACGTAAATTATAATAAATTGAAAAAGCAGTAAATTTAAAAAATTACATTAAAATACAATGAACCATTTCGATACTAAGAAAGATTTATAATCATTTTGCATTAGAAATTTTTGTATTTTATTTAACGAGAATTATTTTAAAAAAAAATTTTTTAATCTTTCTAATTTGTTTTTAATTGTAAAATGGGTTAAATTATTAAATTATATTAAAAATAATAATTAAATAAAATAATGTATTATGCAAAGTAAAACATATTTACATTTAAAAATAAAATTGTATTGAAAGGGTAAATTAAATTAATACTATACCTGTTACTTAATTATTATTATTATTATTATTATTATTATTATTATTATTATTATTTTATTTCATAAAAAAGAATATAAATAATTTAATAAAAAATATTGAACAAATATAATTGAAAAAAATACTGACCCGAATAAATTTTTGTTTCCTACGTTGAAACTTTTCCATTTATCCTTATCGTTAATTTATGTTAGGTCATTTTGTTTGTAATAATAAATAAAAAAAAAAAAAAAAAGAAAGTCAGGATGACACACACACGTACACAGGAGCGTGCATAGGTTAGTAGAATTTTTAACAAAGTTGAAGAAGGATTTAACCGTAAACCCCCATGAAAGTAGTAGCCTGCACTGGGGTTGATAACGCGAACAAATATCGATATATCTCTACGACCTTATATATTTTTTTTTATATTATTTTTTATTCCCTTTCTTTACTTTTTTTCTTTAGGGGGGAAAAAAGTATGAAATAAACGTGAACTTGTGTGTTTTTTTTTTTTTTTTTAATTTCATTTCTTCTTCTTCCTCCTTCAGTTTTATTTATTTTTTTTTTTCTTCGATTTTCTTTGATTGAATTTTATATTAATATTTTTTCATTAAATGGATATGGAAATGTATTGGAATGATTGATTAGGATTGTGTTTGTATTAGGATCGAGAAAAGTATGTTATGAAAAAATGATTTCTAGATGATTGTATTATTTCGAAGTAAAAGTTAAAAATATAATTGAATTTTACTTACGTAGCTAGGTTTCCTAACGTCGTACCCGCACTGCTTGTTTTTTATAATTTCCTATGAAATGATAATAATAATAATAATAAAAGTATTTTATATTTAGTATATTTTGGGGGAAGGGGGGGGGTTATTTTTGAAGTATTTAAAGTTTAAATAAAAATTATTTTTAAAGTAATAAAAAAAACTTATAAAAAAAAAACCTTGTCAATAGTATTATAAAGTATAAAAAAATAGAAAAGTAACATAGCGTTATTAAATATATTAGTTTAAAAATGATTTTATAATAAATATCAATGATTTATAAACGAAAAAAGTGAGTGGTATGAAGAAAATCAACAAAATCTAAAAAAATCTGTATAAAAATAATTATTTACTATTTGATTTATATTTTTATAATTTTTTTTTTTCTGTCAATTTAGAAAACATTCGTAATATGAATAATTCAGATAAATAAAAAATAAATAAATAAAAAATAAATGATAAATAAACAAATGTTTAGAAACCAAAGAAAAGAAAATTAAAAAATATATTTAATATATTTAAAAAAAAAAAAAAAAAATCATGTAGGCAGATCACACGTGTTAGAAGTGAAACCTTCGGAAAACTAAGTTTCGAGAGAAAGAGACGACTGCAGAATATCAAGAGTAAAATAATAATTGTTGGGTTTATTTGTTATAATATTATTATTATATTATTGTTATCACATTCAAAAATTATTATATGTTTTATTGAAAACATATATAAATAGATAACATATTACACAGAAAGCAAGTTCTCAATTCAAAGAAATGAGTTGCTTTTGGTAACTAAAAAATGCATGGGAACTAAACACTTCTGTTAGTGCAGTAAACACCTCTATAGTAAGGTTTTTTCCGAAAAGTAGTGAGGTTTTTTCTTGTAGTGAGGGTCTCGTCGGATAAGTCCGTAGGGTCCCGTCGGATAAGTCCGTAGGGTCGCGTCGGATAAGTCCGTAGGGTCTCGTCGGATAAGTCCGTAGGGTATTTCCGATAAGTTTGTAGTAAAAAAAAAAAAAACATATCACGCACCTTTCTTTGTTTATGTCGACCGTCGGTTCGTTTGGACCTTATACTTTTGTCGCATACCTACGTGCTTATCTCTGTTTATTATTTTACCCTTCTATCGCTCCTACCTACAAATATTTCGAGTATTGAAAGAATATGTGTGTTTACACTTTGTAGTATGCAGTCGCACTCAAACACACACATATACAACCAGGAGCGATAACTACGAAGCATAGCATAAAGAGGAGACCGAGAATAGGAAMWAYTGTATAGCTATATTCCGTCTCATTCCCTCGCAGTCTAAATCCTATGTTTGTCTCTTTTTCTCTCATTATTTAATATGGCAACCGTTTCATAGCTTCGTTACATAGCTCCGTTTCGTTTTATTTACATTTCAGATCACTCCCATTCTAAAGAAGTTTTCACTTCAAAAAATAAGAATGTAAATGAAAGGTGGGAAAGAGGAGAACCAAGAAGAGTAAAAAAAAAAAAAAAAAGAGAAGAATAAAAAGTTTTACTTACGTTTGGTTTCCTTTTACAGCAACTGAAAGGCACACCGCAAGCTTCCCTCGAGCCGATGTCACTCGACGAACAGTTGAAATAATTATTACGATCCCAATCCTTTGGACCCTCGATACCACAACATTGTAACTAAAATGAATAAAAAGAAGAACAAAAAATATATGAGAAATATGATTGGTGGAAGAAAAATTAATGAGAACATTTCTATACGATTAAAAGAATATTATTTTAATATCGATATTCGATCAAACACGAACAAAAAAAAAAACAATAAAAAAAAAAAAAATACAATTCATAGCAACGAGAAACAAAAAATGGGAAGAAATAAAGAGAAGAAAGAAAGATTAATTTAAGAAAATGAGGTTAAAGTTCGATGAACTTTAATAAATAGTTTTTACCTTGTGTGCAATTGAGATTTCCTTTTTGTGATATTAAATGTACAGAAAAAAAAAAAATAATAATAATAATAAGGACAGAATGAATTATTTAGGGGTGGTGTTGGAGGAGGGGTGGGTTGGAAGCATCAGAAAAGAAAGAACGAGAAAAGGTGAATAAATATAAGCGGGGAAAAAATAATAAAGTACAAATAAATTGAATTAGAACTGAAGAAATATATGAAACGACATTTATATATATATAAATATTGATTTAATATAATTCTAAATTATTTAGTAAATTATAAAAACACAGAAAAAATAATTCAAACAATTAGAACGGAATACATTAAATAATAATACACGAAAAAGTAAGGTTAAAAAATTCATTTGTAAATTGAAATAATTGAATTGAAATGAAATATGATGCGCCATCTATTGAATACTTAAACAACTTAAAGACCTAGATAACCTCTAAATAATATGATAAATCTTTAAATTAGCAATAAAAAATACAAAATATTGGCGATATTCATTGAGATCTTCATTGGAAATCAACAATGTGACACTGCATTTTTATACAGATATATTTATACAGAAAATCGATACCAATAGAAAGACGAATTATTTCTAATGTTATAATTATCGAATAAATTAAGGTCTTTGTCAGAGTTATTATAAAAAAAAAAAAAAAATTCTTGTTGATATCCAATACCAATACAATTATTGAATATCAATTTAAAAATATATCTTAGTTAATAAATGATAATTCTAAAAAAGAAAAGACAAAAAATAGAAATTATTTTGAAGAGAAATCTTTCGAGAGATAACTATTTATAATATTACGAATTTATTTATAATAATCACAGATAGAAAAAAAAAATAAAATTAGTTTACTCGTTGAGTAAAAAATGTTTGAAAAGAACAAATTCTATTTTAATTATATTTTCTTTTCTTTTAATTGTTTCACCGTTTACTTTCTTTCATTTTTTCATTTTTTTTTTTCTATCATCATCATCATCATCATTTTTCTTCTTTTATAGTTTGAAAGTTTCTGTTTGTACGCATTACTATGCTAACGTAAGTGATTTAATCGTGAAAGCAAAAGCTTTGAGGAAGCATACGACGATGCCACTTGCAATATGGCCCTTTTCCTACCTACCATTACAGTTCTTATTCGAATTTGCATTCCTTTGCGATTAATATGCGTTCTCGTTCATCTCTCTCTCTCTCTCTCTCTTTCTTTCTTTCTTTCTCTTTTTTATTTTATCGTTATTTCGTTTCTCTTTTATCCTTTGAGAAAAAAGAAATGAAATATAAAGAAAAAGCGCGACTCAATTTAGAGATTTTTTTTTCCATTGAAACCTTTTAGAATATTATTTTTATATATTTTATATAATTTATATATCATTTTATTTTTGTATTGAGATCAACGATTCTGTTTTTTTTTTTTTTTTAATATTTTCTCGAATAAAAATTTTTTCATTGAATGCAATATAAAATTAAATGTATCGATGATCAATTTCTCAGATAATTTATTTTAGAAATTAAATTGAATTTAATAAAAATTATTTCATTTAAATTATATTTGAATTTAATATATATATATTTGTTATTATCAATAATCATCGATTAATATGAATTTTTAAATAAATAAAATATACCTAAAGTATCATGTGTGACCTACAATCAATAGGATTACCAAAATTGCGATGGATACGTGTTATATCCCTAGGAATTGGTTTCTATTGAAATCTCGTAAACCACCATTGCATGTTGTGTCCTGTATCGATCTTCTAACACCATATATATGGTGAATATATATACATATATATTCGTTTACGAATCGTTTCATCGTCTATCACACGTTTTGATGTTTCAATACTCAAATTTAAAAGAATTAGTATAATAATCGTTAAAAATGTTTTTAAGATAGAATAAAATAAAGAATAATAAAAAAATATAAAACAATAAAAATGTATATTTATATACATGAAAAAAGAGATTTGATTAAATAACATACCCAGTCCTCTTGAATCCAGTCGATTAAATTCTGCTGATCAGGATCTTCACGATAGTGAATGATGAAAGCTTGGAAGCCCCCGGTTGCTTGTGATTTAATCTGTTTGATAAAAAAGAAAAAGAAAAAATAGAAAAGCTCTTCTTTTTATTAAAATAAATAAATCCTGTAATGATTAAAGTATAAAATAACGATTTGATATTTTAATATTAATTTATTATTATAGATAAGTCAGATGAGTAATACTTTGAGTTTGTATAAAATGTTTCTTTTAAAATGTATATTATAAATATAATATAGAATATTATATTTTTATAAAATATATAGAATTATAACCCTTTAGTAAAAAATTTAATAATTTTTTAGTTTTGGTTTAGTTTATGTACCAAATACTAACTTGGTTTTATAATTTTAGTATTTTAATATTTTATAATTTTGATTTATAATATTTAGTTTTCTAATTTATGATTTTTAGTTTTTTATTGTTAGTACATAAACTAAAAAGATTCTACCCGTCTGATTTAGAAACAAAATTTATCTAATTAATAATTTTTTATTCTAATAGAGTTATGTATATTACAATTTAATATTGTAAAATCCTTTTAATTAAAATTCATATTAATATATCAAGTAAAAACATTAATTATTTATATTTTTTATTACAAACTCATTTGGTATCTTCTTCTATTAATAATAATAATAATAATAATAATAATAATAATAATAATAATAATAATAATAATAATAATAATAATAATAACAATAATCATAATAATATATTCGTTTATTAGTCCCTTTAAGAATAAACGGGAATCATGATAACTGTTAAGAATAGAAAATTTAACAACAGGGTTGAAAAGAAGGGGATGAAAGCAACGGACAAAGAAAATATACGATTCCACTTGACTCCTACCGACAGGTGAAGGGATGAGAGAGAAAAGAGAAGGGAGAAAGGGAAGAGGAAAAGGGTGCTTGCAGAATGGTATTTAGTCTGTTTGTTTTCGAGACTCTGCCGAGCTTTTTCATCGTTGGAAAAGACCATTTTAAGTTCATTGAACCCTTTTCCCTTCTACTTGTTATTAACGTAACCAGTATCAAAGTTATATCTATCGTTTATGTTAACTTTTTTTTTTGGTTTATTTTTTGTTCAGAAAGAGAACAAATAATATTTTCTTCCATTTTGCAATGTTGATCGAATTTTTAATTATTTTTCTTTTTACTGTTTATATATATATAACAGTATATTTTTTATTTTTATTTTAAAGAAAAAAGAAATGAAAAAAAAATAAGATAAAAAGATAATTAATGTAAAATGATCTTACCCAGTCTTTAAAGATGAAGCCTAAAACACCGGCAGTAATCTCCATTAGCAACAATAATGCCAAGAATATTGCATACTGTAAAAAAAAAACAAATGATATTAAATGATTTAAATTAATGATCAGTTAAATATTTGTCAAATATAATTAATAGTATCGTATATCCTTGGTATAAAATAAAAAAAAAATTATTTATAAGAGATTAAAATAAATATAATATAATATTTATAATAAATAAATGTATATGTATATAATATTTCAGTATCATGTGGTAGGTGAAAGATTTTTAAAAGTATAATTATAATAATAACAATTTTTGTTTCATATTTTCTATCTTAACGTTATAAAATGTTTATAACGAATTAATAATATTATTTGCAGATATATTTGAATAAATATAATATTTTACAAACATATACATATAATTTTATAGATATTTTTTCATGAAAAATTCAGGACTACAATGTGACATTAGTACTTTTTTGCTAGGTTGAGTAATTTTTGAGATTTATTGATCAACTTCATTTTTTTAAATACAAGGATATATTTTAATACTTATTTTCGGATAGCGGCTTTCAAGACGAATCCAATGACGTGCCACACTAATATATTTGAAGATCAAAAATGGTTAAAATTTGCTAACAAACTACCGCCGGCCATACTACAGCTTTTCCGCGTCAGATAGCGCCGTAGTCGAATCAGATGGCGCCATAGTCGCGTCAGATGGCACCGTAGTAACGTCATCCTTTGAAACAGATATTTTCCGAACTGTTTTTATTAGTTATTTTCAGGTTTTGTATTTAAAGTTGCCTATCGTTGGATTCGTCTCGACAGCCGCTATCCGAAAATAAGTATTAAAATATAACATTGTATTTAAAAAAACAAAGTTGAACAATAAATCTTGAAAATGACTTAACCTATCAAAAAAATACTGATGTTCTATTATAGTCTTAAATTTTTCATTCAATTTTTTTAAATCTAATTTTCTGCTACTATCATACTTTGGGAATTATTTAAATTTTAAGAGCTAGTGAAATCACCCTGTATAATTTTAATAATATATTAAATACATATATCTATATTTTTATCGAAAGAAATAATATAAAAAAGAAAGGAAAGATAATGAATAGAATAAATTATTTAAATGAATGAAAAGGAAAAAAAATAGAAAGAAAAATCACAGATAAAATTTTGAATTAGAATTCCATAGTGAGTACTCACTGCTGATAGGAGGCACGTATTTTCCCTGAGTGCGCCGACACACCCCGTAAATCCGATGATAAATGTCACTGTACCTGTATAATAATAATAAGAAAGATATTATCGTTCACTGTCACTGTAATGCTAAATAGGGTTATGGTGTTAGTATTATTTTTCATGTTACACACTTAAATAATAAAAATGAACACGTACAGTTGTATAATGATGATCACAATTTTTTTCTCATCATAATTTAATAGAACTGCGAATAAAATCTTAATATCTTAAAACAAAACAAAAATTTCAATTGAAAAATGTCGATAAAAATAGACAGGAATGTTAAAATGTTGCGAAAGAAAAAAAAAGATAAAAAATATAAGAAACGTTTGAAATTTTAATCGAGAATTCCAAATTTCGATATTCCTTTTCTTGAGAGAATTCACCACCACTCACCCACCACCCTTTTATCCTCAACCCCTATCCCTATCTTTATCCCTTTCGATGCTTCTCTTTAGTTTGAATTTTTTTTTCTTCTTCTTCTTTTCTTTTCTTTTTTTGTCTCTTTTCTTTTCCTATTTCTTTCATATATTCTTTTCTTATCACTACGAAAAGCCTCGACGATAAATTCCAAGACTTGGATGGGGATATTTGCAGGTATGAAATTCCACGAGATCCTTTTCAGGTATCTGCGTGTTTCAAAATAGTCGATGTAAAGAGGAAAATAGACAAGATAGAGAAAATGAGAGAAAGAAAGAAAGAAACAAACAAAAAGGATCAATATATTATATAAAAATCTAAAACTCACGAATGGGAAGAGAATGAAGAGAATGAAGTGATTTTTTCTATTTGAAATTATGTGATTTCAATTATACAAATTAATATTTAATTGTCTGATTTTTTGTTTTCAACGAATTTTAATTTTTTTCATGTGATTATTATACATATTATAAAAATATTATTTATTTTAAAAGCAGTGTGTAGGTGTATATTTGTAAAATATATATAATAAATATTATATTATATTAATTAAATTTTGTTTAGAAGAAATTAATATAATTTAAATATTATATTATTATATTATTATATTATATATTATTATACTAATCTAAAAATATTTATATAATATATATATACATAATAATTAAAATCATAATATTAATGTAAATCAATAATTTTAAATTTTATCAAATAAATTTTTTTTTTTTAATTATTTTTATATTTAATTTAATTTTTATTTGATTTAATTAATTTAATTTCAATGTATTATTATTCATTAATTATATAATTAAATACAAAATTATAGATTTAAATTAATATTATTATTTAAATTATTACATAGATTTGAGCTTATTTGAATTTATAATTTATTTAATTGACAAATATGTGTAATTCTTTTAATTTTTTGTTTGTCTCGTAAACGACACAAAATGAAATAACAAATAATTTTTCAAACAAATAATCCATATAAATAATTAAATGATATGAAAGATTTGTATATTGTATCGAAAAGAAGATAAAATAATTCATCTAAAAAAGAGATGAAAATAATTTTTGCGAATGAATAGAGAAAATAAGGAATAATTAAATAAGAAAATTATTAAATCAGAACATCGTTGGAACAACTATTCGCATCATTATATTAAGATCAGTTTGTGGAAAATGATAGAATTCGTTAAAATGGACTCTGCTAGAATGGAATTACGAGCAAATGCAAGGAATGAAAATAAAAAAAAAAATAGAAAAAATAAAAAGACAAAGAAAAAGAAAGAGAAGAGGTATGAAGGGTTGCATACAATGGCTGGCTGGTATGAATCGTAAAAAGAAGAGGTAAACGATATTCAAAAGATCGTAAGAGAGAGAGAGAGAGAGAGAGAGAGAGAGATCAAGTATGAAAAAATAATGCCGATAAAATGCTTGCGAATATGAACAACTGCTTTTTATTACTACCCCTTGCTAATAAAATATATATATATAAACGAGACTGAGGGGTAAAGTTTATTCAAAATAAATAAAATAAATAAAACAAAAAATAAGAGTGAGACAGAGAGCAATAATAAAGAGAGAATGAAAAATAAAATAAAAATTAATTTAAAAAAAAAATATATATATATATAATATAAATAAATTCAATTTACAAAAATTTCAAACTTTCCTAAAATAATAAATATTTCATTGATGTATACAAAATATTTTTTATACTAATTCCTGCAATGTTTAATTATAGTAGAAATAGTAAGAATACTTTCTACACACACTGTATGTTACAAATAATTATAATGTATATGTTATTATTATTTGTAAGACCTTTTAATATTAATTAATACTATATCTACATATTTATTTTAATGAAAAAAAAAAAGATAAATTTTTATGTATTGAATTTTAATAATTAATTAATTATTTTTGTTTCATCTATTTCACGTTCTTCCGTTTCACAATTTTCAAATCACCCTGTGATTCTAAAGAAGTTTTCACTTCAAAAAATAATAAGACACAAGGAAGTTATTTTATTTAATATTTTTTTCTTAAACAAATCAACGACAAATGATAGTACAGTATTTATATGTATATATTTGTATGTAAGTATATATATATATAACGTAGATACTTTGTGATCCGAATATGTATCCTAAGTGCAATATATATGTATATATATAGGTATTTTCCAAGTGAAACGAGGATATTATTGGTACGACAAGCACTAGGAACATAAACTCATGCCATGCATAACGTGCGAACAACGTTCCTCCATCAACGCGTATTCTGCTTTTCCACTGTCACCACAAAATACCTTTACTTTGTCGTTTGTAAAACTAACGTTAGGTAAGTTTACTTTTTTATATTCTTTTACGATCTCTTTTATTTTTTATTAAATTTCATCTTTCTCTATTTAACTTTTTTTCTTCTTTTTCCTTTTATATTTTTTTTTTCTAACGATCATTAACAATGTATAAACATATTGTAAATTTCTCAAAAATTTCGTGATACAGTTTGCATTTTAAATCAACAACAACAACAGCATCAACAAAAGAATATATAAAATAAAATAAAATAAAATAAAATAACACAAATATAGTTCTCACAGGTTGTACTCGATAAAATAGTAGAAAACGTTCACAAGTGTTTTGGATTATTTCAAGAGAGAGAAAACGTTTCGATATTGTCGTTTCAATTTACGTTAAAATAATATCAATTAATAAAAAAAAACGACAGATGTTAGCCCGTTTGATCAGTACGGACTTATCGGAAATACCTTACGGACCTACGGACTTACCGAAATTACCCTACGGACTAATCGAAAAAAACATCACTACTTTTCCGAAGAAACCTCACAACTTTTCGGAAAAAACCATACTACATTTAGTAAAGTTACTCCGAATGTGGGGTTTTTTCCGAAAAGTAGTGAGGTTTTTTAGANAGACCCTACGGACTTATCAGAAAGACCCTACGGACTTATCGGAAAGACCCTACGGACTTATTGGAAAGACCCTACGGACTTATCGGAAAAAACCTCACTACTTTTCGGAAAAAACCTTTTTTCCCGATAAGTCCGTAGGGTCTTTCCGATAAGTCCGTAGGGTCTTTCCGATTTGTCCGTAGGGTCTCTCTAAAAAACCTTACTACGTTTCGGTAAAAACCTCACTACTTTCCGGAAAAACCTCACTACTTTTCGGAAAAAACCTTACTACTTTTCGGAAATACCCTACGAACTTTTTTACTTTTCAATGTTATTTCAATACATTTAACTTTCTATGGTGTTTGTTATTGTCAGAAGTCAAGTTTAGATCACGTGCTAACTCAATTTTGTTTTGTGCAAGCTTTAATATAGGACAAAAAAGAAAAAAGAAAGAACGTGCGAATAGAGGAGAACAGAGTGAGGAAAGGTGAGTCAAAGTGAGATACTTAGAAAGATGAACCACCCTAAAGAGCCATTGTACGTGACTTCAAAGATAGAAAGAGACAGCTAAATAGACAGACAGACAGACAGACAGACAGACAGACAGACAGACATAGAAGTGGTTCAAGCTCGAGATGTTTGGATTGGTCACAGAGGATTCCTGAATTCCCACCATTACATTCAAGTAAACCGCGAGTGACCACGTTCAGGAGTGTAGTGGCTTTCCAAGGTACCTCTAACCATTCAGGAATCCTCCTCTTGGTAGTACATACCCAGTAATCCGACTTACAACACATACACACGCACACAAATACATACATGCATGCATGCTTTGTGGAATTTCTCTTACGTAATTTTGTACGAACTAACAATCGAATCGGAGTAGAATCTTCATTCTAATAAAACGGTATTATAATGAAAATCGACGTTAATTGGATGAATAAAGGATTTGAAGGGATAGGGGATAGGGATTTGATATGTAGGGAAAATAAGGGTCTAGAAAGTAAAGTTTGGAAAGAGGCTAAGGGGGGATTGATTTTCTATCGAAATTACAAACTCGAATATTTGTTAAACTTTCTTTTTCTTTTTTCTTTTTTTAAAACCATTTTATGATGAATTTTTCTATTAAATTTTATAGATTTTTTTATGTTTTTTTTTTTTTTTATGGAAATTTAGTGTCGTAATTTTGCAGTTAATTAATTATTTACTATGAATAATATCGGTTTTTTTGTTTGATCGTTATTTTTTTTAATGCAATTTTAATTTAATATTAAATTATTATTCGTTAGTGTGTAAAACTGTTTTTTTTTTTTTAACTATTTTATGGTGAACCTTTTTATCGTATTAATTGATTGTTTATTATAAATAATATTTGTTTGTTGAATTTGATATTTTATAATGCAAGATATATGATTATTAATAGTAATTAATTATTCATCATTGTGTGTGTATTTGAAAATACTGATAGGAAAATTGGGTGGTTAGGTTTAATTTATATATTAAATATTTTATTATTTTAATAATTAATGAAAAGTGTTGTTTTATTTTTGTAATAATTTAATGAAAATTTATATCAACGAGATGATATTATGCAAAATTCATTTAAAACAGATCAGCTGAGAATAACTACTAGATTATTATTGTTATGGTGATAGAAAAATAATGTTTGTCAGATTACGAGAGATTTCAAGGATGGTGTATAATATTATTATTCATATTATGCGAGTTTTAACATATATTTACATAGTAAATACTACTACTAATACATTTTATATTTACATAGTAAATATTAACATTACATTTATATTATTTAGTAAACAGTACTATGTAAATATGTTACACGTGTTTTGCATTCATTATACATAAGAAAATACATTACACATAAATATGTGTTTTTATTTATTTATTTATATTGTATGGGGACAAAAACGAACAAAGATAATAACAAAAAATTCAAACATACTTCACTCTACGTGTCTTGAAGAGCGTCTTATTAAATAATTCTTAGAAAAAATATAAGTATAATTCTATTTAAAAAAGAAAAAAAGATTAATATAAGTTATTATACATGTATTGAGGTAAAAATTAAATTTAGTTTAACACATTTGAGTTTTTATTCGTCATTTAAATATTTCAGCTTTGATATAAAATCATTTTACGTTAATTACAAAATAAAAAATGTTAATGTCGTTATTTTTACATTGTAAATAAGTATATTTTATATTAATAAATTTATTAATGTAACGGTGATTATTAATAATTAATAATATTATTAATTAACTCACGTTTAAGCGTGTAAAATTTTGCAGATAGGTTCCAGGTACGTAAAATTCGCCTAATGTGGGATTAAGTTCGTCCTGAATTTAAGCGGATTCCAAAAGCCGTCTCTAATTAGCCAATCTCTCTCTCTCTCTCTCTCCCTCTCTCTATCTCTCTCTCTCTCTCTTTCTCTTTCGTGAATATTAGTAATCCGTGAATTATCTCGTGTAAAATTTTGTCCGAGAGAGCATAAATAATAAACGCCCCCCTCCCTACCCCTTTACCACATCCTTCCTTTAAAACTATGAATCGTTTATTCATTACATGTGCAACGTTTTGATTTTATATCACTCTTGTCAAATAATATTTATTGTTAAAACGTATTTCAACAAAAACAAAAGAAAAAGAAAAATGTTATAACAAATACGTTCTTTTTATTTAGAATTATTTATTTATATTTTTTTTTCTTTTGGTTTCTAAATATCTTTTGTAAATAATTTAATTTAAATGACAATACTTGTTACTTGTAATAGAAAAAAAATATATAATAAAAAAATATTAATAATAATAATAAAAAAATAATAATAATAAAATTGAAACGTGATTTATTATTATAAATTAAATTAATTTATACTATTTATGTTATTAATATTATCTTTTATGGTTATCTTAAATATTTATATTATTTATCAATTAATTAGTAAAATATAATTTCTACTATTTTTTTTTATTATTTATATATTATTTTATTATATATATATTTATATGTATATGTATACATGGAAATCCCTGTTTAATCGATTGATTTCTAGTATAAACAAATGTTAGGTAATGTGTGTGTCTATGTACTAGGAGTAAATCCATCTAAAGCAGATTGCAAAGCAATTCTCTCGTTTGAATTGTGGCAACGTTAAAGCACATCAGTTCAGAAAGTAAGTTGCTTCCTAAATTCAGATTACAATCACGAGTAATTACAAATTAGTTGCTACAATATATATTCATGTTTTAATAGACCTTCAAAAAATTCAAACATTGTTTTCTCTTTTTTCTTTTTCAAATTGGAATACTTCAAGTATTTGCATTTCATTTTTTGTTGGGTAATAAATTTCAATAAATCAATTGATTCTATTGAAAATAAAATGATCAATAAATCAACATTATTTTATTCAAAATAAAATCAAAAGACAAATTAATATTTAATTAAATAAATATTTCATAAGAAAACAAACGTAAATTTTTCTTCCTTTAATTCATCTCTTTGTGTTCTCAATTATAGTTGTGAAATATTTTTTGTTGTTCTTTTCGACAAATTGTTCTTGATAAGAAAAATGAAATCCTCCAACTCCTTTCAAAAAAAAAAAAAAAAAAAAAAAAAGTAATAATAAATTAGCGAGTTAAAAAGAATAAAAAAAGAAGAAATAATTTCTGCAGTAATTCGCATAAAAACTTTGTACGGATTAAATGAAAATTAGATGCAATTTTTTTTTCTTCTTCTTTTCCCATTTCTTTCTTTCTCTCTTTCTCTCTTTTTTTTTTTTATTTTCATTCTAATTTTTATTATCCAACCATACCGAAGTAGTACAGTAGAGTATTAAAATTTTCAAAAGCGAATTCCAAAAGGGTGATTCGGAATAGCCACTCGAACGCGCAAAGGATTAAAACTGAAAGTTTTGAAGTACGTTTGTATACTACTCGCATTTGGATTATTTTAAATGGGGGATGGGGTTTTGGTGAGGGGGTTTACGTAAAGGAAAACAAGAAAAGAGAAATTGTAGTACGTATTTTAAATCCTCTCGTGACATCTACTTTACTATAAAATTCAAAAAAAGAAAAAGAAAACACACATATATTCATATACATAGAATAAAGATAAAAGAATTAATTGTATAAGTAATTACATAACATGTATATATATAATACTTACCGACTAGAATGAGTATAAATGCTGGATCGAGTGCAACGTTAGTTAGGCGGGACAAATTGTTAAATGTATCCTTTTCTGTCCATGCCCATACACCAACTGCCATAATTCCCAAGCCGAGCCACTGAAACATACAAATCATTTATTTTGTTTTCAATATAAATTAGAAGAAAAATAAAATTAAAAATCTTAATGTTTTACAATAAAACACAAATAGATTCTGCTTTCTTTTTTTGTGAAGAATTTTTCTTTTTTTAAGATAAGTATAATATTTATAAATATATATATATATATATATATAATACACTTTTGTTATATTAAGTTCCACGTAATATTACTAATGGTGTACACATTGCACGTCACGTGCCGAAGATACCAGCAGAGACAAAGTGCGTGCACCACCTGAGGCAGTGTACGATAACGTTCAGCATTTCGCAGGATAATCATCTTTAATCCTCCCTACGGCTTGACTGCTAGCAACAATGCAATTTCCACTAACTCGGTCATCATTTTCGGTTCAAACAACAACAACAACGACAACGACAATCCTTTTTCTTTTTTTTTCTTTTTAAATGTTTGGTTTAATATTATCACGGGAAAGGATTAACAATTCAAATAACTAGAATCGTATATTTAAAATTAATTTATTAATCAAAATGAAACATATTTAAAACTAATTCTCCTATTTTAAGAAATTATTGCACAAATTAAAAAAAAAAAAAACCTGTATAATAAAAATTAAAGTAAAATCATTCTCGACGTAAAATAAAAAAAAGACAGATGTTACCCTAAGAATATTAATACTATTACAAATATTATTATTAATATTACATTAATACATTATAATTGTTTTTATTATTAAAAATATCAGATAACTTTGAAAATCTTTTCTGTTTATAATGTACGTGTACAGAATAATAATTACTGTATAAAAAATAATATAATAACAAAAAAAATCAGGATAAAGTAATATAGGAAGTAGTAACATTATTCGTCAATGTAAAACAGTAATTAATCGAACTTGTTGAATAGTTTGGCAAAACGATGGCAACGATCTATTGTTAATAGATGAGACACCATTAGTTTGACGTTGAAAGCATCCCCCTATCTCTCAGCTAGATGAGAGAAAGAGAGAGAGAGAGAGAGAGAGAGAGAGAGAAGTACGATTACCAACCAACCAACCCCAGTCTCACGATTTAATCTTTCATCAATGCGTATGCATGTATATTGTCGTTGTCGTTGTTCATTGCACTCTGACTAATCACTCAACGAGAGTTGGTTTGTTGCTTTGATACATGTTACATCGATCCTAATGCTCGAGGTTATATTTAGTGCCTCTTAGGTTAGTGTGTCTCACACATATTCGTTGAAAAGAAAAAGAAAAGAGGAATTTCACAGATAAAGAGATAAATTTATAAAGAACACATAAATGCATAATCTATAAATATAAATATAATGTTGTGTATGTATATTATATTAAATATTATATATATTCTATATTATTTATTTATATTTTATGTATAACAATATTATATTATTTATTTACTAGAATTGTTTATTTATAATTGTAGTGTTTATTTGTTATTTTTATTTATAATTTTACTATTTATTCATTATTTTTTATTTATAATTTTAGTATTTATTCATTATTTTTTATTTATAATTTTAGTATTTATTCATTATTTTTTATTTATAATTTTAGTATTTATTCATTATTTTTTGTTTATAATTTTAGTGTTTATTCATTATATTTTATTTATAATTTTAGTATTTATTCATTATATTTTATTTATAATTTTAGTATTTATTCATTATTTTTTATTTATAATTTTTAGTATATATTCATTATTTTTTATTTATAATTTTATATATTATTTAATTATTATTTATAATTTTAATTTTATATAATTAAATATATTATATATAGTAAAATTTGTGAAAAAAAGACTGGACCCCGCCGGGATTCGAACCACAGTTTATTTTTTGCTTAAATTAAAGCGAGGGATCTTATCCACTGAGCTAATAAGAGCTTATTAAAAAATATGTCTCCAGAAATACTTATTAAGTATTGACATGAAGACACTCGCGCGTCTCATATATATATTATAAATTTTATATTATTTTAATGTGAATATGTGTATGTATATTAAATATATGGCTTTGTGTGTTTGTGTTTGTAGATAGGTTTCATACATTTAACTAATACGTAGAAGATTATGCACACGTTGTAAAGTATATAGTATACTAAAAGCACATATGGTAGAACGAGCGAATTTAACCCTCGACGTTTTGCAGTCGACACGTTATCCGTAAATACGTGTCAGAGAGAGGAACGTCTCTTCGGTTCGACTGCAAACAATTTCTCAACGTCGCATAATATACGATCCAATCGATCCGGATCCAGGTTATGTCAAATGCAAAATAATAGCATTGGTGTATAGATAGGTAGATAGATAGATAGATAGATAGATAGAAAGGGGGAAAGGGGAATATATATATATATATATATATATATATATATATATATATATATATATATATATATATNTATATATATACATTTGTAAATGTACTGTAAGTGTATTGAACAAATTTAATTACACGTGTATGATTTTTACTTCGTTTTTTTTTTTTGGAAAGTATATTTAAGAAAAAATTAAATTAATAATATAAAAAATTGTTGTTGTTTTTCATTACATTATTTTTATAATATATTTTATAGAATTTTTTACAGTTGATTTATTTTTAATAAAAAAGTAAATGGTAAATAATATTTAATTAAATGTTAAATATTCGTATTAATTAATATTAACGGATATAAAAATATTTAAATATTATTATTTAATTGTTATTTAGTATTACTTTCGAATAACTTTGTACTGATAATAAATTCACGATATTCTTCTCATCATTCTTCTTATTTCTCATTTAATCGAGAAAGAATTTTCTCAGTAAGTTTATGTATATATCGTACACATAGGGTTTATTCCGTAAAACTCAATATGCATTCGTAATGTTTGTTTTGTAAAAAGAAAAGAAAAGAAAAGAAAAGAAATCTCATTTTCCTGACCGAAACTTTTCTTTAGAAGCTGTCTATTGTTGCCATAGAATCGGGTCGTGTCATTCGATGAAACGAAAAGAAAAAAAAAAGAAATAAAGAAAGAGAAATAGAAAAATAAAAAAAAAAAAGGATTGAAAAAATGAAAGGGAAAAGAATGGGAAAGATAAACAAAAAGAAAAAGAAAAAAAAATAGTTGATACGAGATAGTGGGGAAAAAAAGAAGTAGAAAAAGTAGAAGAAGTTGAAAAGATGGGGAAAGAGAAAAATAGATAAAAGAAATAAGATAGGGATGAAGTAGTAGAAATAAGAAAGAAAGAAAAAAAAATGTGGAAATGGAATGTGCGTCAGAACTTTTAACGATTTTGGGCTTATCTCATCTTCCAAGAGCAATGCCATAGCTTTTTGGTGGGAAGCTTGGGTTTGGGGGTGTCTGAGGGGTGTGGATATTCCATGAAGAAAACGGAAACTACTCGTGGTGGGTAATTTAAATCCGTACAAACAAAAAGCAGGCTAGAAAGTAGCAGTAAGTTCAAGAAAGAGGGTTAAATCTAACTTTAGGTTAGAAAATGAAAAAAAAAAGAAACAGAAAAAGAATTGAGGTTAAATTGAAAACATCCCCCTGCTACCCTTTAATACTATTTGTTTATTTATTAATAATAGATAAATATGAACAATAAATGTTCTATAAAAACTAATCCATATACAAAAACACACAGTTTGAATTATTTAAATATTTTTTAATATGAAAACTATGTCGTCTGCACATCTAGTCCGTGCGATAATTTCCGAGTGGCACCAACGTGGAGCCACCAGACGTCGTAGTATTAAAATAAAATAATTGATACTTAGTGTGAGATGCATTTATTGTATTCCAAATAGTTTTTGTTAACAATTAACTTTGATAATATTAATTGGATAAATATGAGCCATAAATTTTGCATCGAACCTAATTCCCCATACGCACGTAATCTCAAAAAATAACTAAACCTTTTAAAACCATTGGAAAGTATGGTGAAATCAAATAATAACACGCCTTAAAGAACAAAAATATCCTTTCACTTTTGACGGATTAATTTTTTCTATTTGTTTTAAATTCCCCTCAGCCCATTTTTTTTTATTCCTTTGTAGAAACTCGAACAAATCTACTTTCCACCACCACCACCACCACTACCACTACCACTACCACCACCACCACTACCATAAACATCACCATACCTGGAAATCTCGATTTTTAGCAGAAAATAGTTGAACGTAGGGTGGGGGTGGGGGGGTAAGGGAAGGGTTTGCCTACGGCTAGGCGGATCGTGCGAGATTGGAATAGTCGATTGCATTATTTACAAGCACACGGTAGCAGCAGTTAGGTTGTTCCTGAGCGACGTGTCATAAATATGAAATCCCGCAATCTAGCGTTGAACAATCAAACCCGAGAAACGTGCATGCGTATATATACGTATATACATACACACATATACGTATATAAACCCATATCTTCCTACGTATTATACTATACACACACACATAGCCATATATATATATATATATATATCAACAGGATAGGTCAAATGCAGGGAAACACGATGAAATATCTACACGCGTACACATACACATATATATAGAGAGAGATATAGAGAAATCCTTAGACAAGAGACAGAAACGTCTATCTGTCTCTCTGTCTCTTTCTCTCTTGTACAAGTTAAACTTGGCACGTTCGATGGGTTAAGCGAAGCTCATTAATTGCATTAATTAAAAGCAACTACAGTGAATCGATGGTAATTCCGTTATGTTTCTGAACGATAACGAGGGTTGTTGGTCCGATGTCCAACGTCGTAAGTTAAGGGTGTGTACTTGCTTACGTGACAGGTAATTCAAACGCTTTAGGCTATTTTATATGAGAAGGATATATGCCTGTTTGAGTAGTAGTATATACATGTATATATATATAAAATAGATGATAGTGTGTATATGTTCAAAGATATAGAAGGAGCTCATCTGCGTTAAACTTACGTTGATCCGTCCATCTTCTAGCCGCTAACGAGTATCATATATATATATATA